GTGTCATGGGCCCCCCGACCGACTCCTCATGCTGCCCTGCCAGGCCCGGTAAATCTGTCATGGTCCCCTGTACCGCCTCCCTCATGCTGCTGCCAGTTCCAGAGTGGTGTCATGGGTTCCCAGTACGGCCTCCCATTGCTGCTGCCAGGCCCCCGTAATCTGCCATGGGCCCCTGTACCGACTCCTCATGCTGCTGCCAGGCCCGTAATCTGTCATGGGCCCCTGTACCGCCTCCTCATGCTGCTGCCAGGTCAGAGTGTGTCATGGGTCCCTGTACGGGGCCTCCCATTGCTGCTGTCTCTATCGCCACACTCTGCCATGTGCCACTTTCAGGTCTCCTCACACTGCTGGTGGTTTCCATTTTTGTCATAGGGTGCTGTATGGCCCTCCCATTGCTGCGCCTCCACCGCCACACTGTGGCTCCACACTCTGGTTTTGGCCCCGTGACTGCCCAAATGAGTGAAGTGTGCGGTTGATTCTAAGATCGACGGCACTCATCTGCATGTCATACTGACTGACAGTATTATTTCTCTTCCCCAGCAAGACTCCAAGGGCATTTAAATTAAAGGTACAGTGTTCTGCACTAATATTAAGTCTCTCTGAAGCCTAGAAACACCCTTTTTTAAGTTAAATTCACAGCGAATTTATTCGACTCGAATCGAATATTGTCCACGAATTCGCCGAATCAGTCGAATCGAATTTTTCATTTCTTCGCTCATCTCTAGTTCTCACATTGCTGCAGTTGACTTAGTTCCTTTTGCATGGTTGTCACAGGTCCAGAAGAATGCAGCAGTGGGGGGGATGATGTCACCAAGAGGGCCCGGTAGGAGAACAGTCAATTGTGCAGATTGACTGCAGTGGTGTATCACCGTTTTTCACTCCTGAAGACCAGTAGTGTAGAATAAGTAGTGATTTTGTCATAGTAATTAAATGATTAATACACAAAGAAAAAATACGAGCACAGTTGACCATAGAAGGAGGTGTGGGCCAGATAGGAAGGAGGGAACATGGAAAAAAAGATAAACTACAGAACCTGAACAGAACCTGAACTTCAGAATGTGCTAGACACTGTATAAGTGCTTTGGCCTTTGTGTAGCAGTGTGTTCTTACTAGGAACTATAGTTACTTTGCAGCTACCAGTCGGGACTGGATTTGTCATGCAATTTTTAGTCTATTTGGGGACTATAAGCAGTCATCTACTTTGGCATTGCCTATGTTAAATATTATTTTGTTTGCAATATCCCTTGCCTTTACCCTAGGAGTTTCCAACCTCCCTAATCCCCGACCAACAGTTGTTTAGTGTGCTCCTTAATGTTAACTGCCAAGGATTACAAAACAGTAAATGTGTGTTTCATTTCGATTAGTTTTTCAGACAAAATGTTATTTTCAGAGATTTAGATGTATATGAATCTCTGAATAGACATAGTAGCAAATGTCAACAAATTCGAAAAAAGATAAAACGAACTTAACAAATGCATACATTTCATTCGGATGACATCACATGATCTGATAGTAGTTTGAGCCCAAGGGGAAAATAATAAAATTTTCAGATTCATTCAGTAATTCAGATTCAAGTAAAGTTGTGATTTAAATTGACTTTGTAATTGTTACAGTCAGTTCGGTTCCACAGTCCAATGCAATTCTTAGGTTTGAAAAAGTCAGGCCACTGAATTTTGCATTATTTTTTCTGTTGCGTCCGAAAATATTGAATCCTTCTGATATACAGTCAGGTCCATAAATAGTGGGACATCGACACAATTCTAACATTTTTGGCTTCATACACCACCACAATGGATTTGAAATTAACAAGATGTGCTTTAACTGCAGAATGTCAGCTTTAATTTGAGGGTATTTACATCCAAATCAGGTGAACAGTGTAGGAATTACAACAGTTTGCATATTTGCCTCCCACTTGTTAAGGGACCAAAAGTAATGGGACAGAATAATAATCATAAATCAAACTTTCACTTTTTAATACTTGGTTGCAAATCCTTTGCAGTCAATTACAGCCTGAAGTCTGGAACGTATAGACATCACCAGACGCTGGGTTTCATCCCTGGTGATGCTCTGCCAGGCCTCTACTGCAACTGTCTTCAGTTCCTGCTTGTTCTCGGGGCATTTTCCCTTCAGTTTTGTCTTCAGCAAGTGAAATGCATGCTCAATCAGATTCAGGTCAGGTGATTGACTTGGCCATTGCATAACATTCCACTTCTTTCCCTTAAAAAACTCTTTGGTTGCTTTCGCAGTATGCTTTGGGTCATTGTCCATCTGCACTGTGAAGCGGCGTCCAATGAGTTCTGAAGCATTTGGCTGAATATGAGCAGATAATATTGCCCGAAACACTTCAGAATTCATCCTGCTGCTTTTGTCAGCAGTCACATCATCAATAAATACAAGAGAACCAGTTCCATTGGCAGCCATACATGCCCACGCCATGACACTACCACCACCATGCTTCACTGATGAGGTGGTATGCTTAGGATCATGAGCAGTTCCTTTCCTTCTGCATACTTTTTCTCTTCCCATCACTCTGGTACAAGTTGATCTTGGTCTCATCTGTCCATAGGATGTTGTTCCAGAACTGTGAAGGCTTTTTAAGATGTAATTTGGCAAACTCTAAACTGGCCTTCCTGTTTTTGAGGCTCACCAATGGTTTACATCTTGTGGTGAACCCTCTGTATTCACTCTGGTGAAGTCTTCTCTTGATTGTTGACTTTGACACACACACACCTACCTCCTGGAGAGTGTTCTTGATCTGGCCAACTGTTGTGAAGGGTGTTTTCTTCACCACTGAAAGAATTCTTCGGTCATCCACCACAGTTGTTTTCCGTGGTCTTCCGGGTCTTTTGGTGTTTGCTGAGCTCACTGGTGCGTTCCTTCTTTTTAAGAATGTTCCAAACAGTTGTTTTGGCCACGCCTAATGTTTTTGCTATCTCTCTGAGGGGTTTGTTTTGTTTTTTCAGCGTAATGATGGCTTGCTTCACTGATAGTGACAGCTCTTTGGATCTCATCTTGAGAGTTGACAGCAACAGATTCCAAATGCAAATAGCACACTTGAAACAAACTCTGGACCTTTTATCTGCTCATTGTAATTGAGATAATGAGGGAATAACACACACCTGGCCATGGAACAGCTGAGAAGCCAATTGTCCCATTACTTTTGGTCCGTTAACAAGTGGGAGGCACATATGCAAACTGTTGTAATTCCTACACCGTTCACCTGATTTGGATGTAAATAACCTCAAACTAAAGCTCACAGTCTGCAGTTAAAGCACATCTTGTTTGTTTCATTTCAAATCCATTGTGGTGGTGTATAGAGCCACAAATGTTAGAATTGTGTCGATGTCCCAATATTTATGGACCTGACTGTATGAATATTCAATCCATTCAAAATATATAGCACTCTTACAAAAAACTGCTAAATTTTTCATATCCACCCAGACCAACGAGTATACAAAACGAATGCTGATGATACGAATTAGGAAATCACACCAGTTCAACTTAATGAATATGTTGCAATTAAAATCCTTCAAAGGATAAATGCATTCAAAATGAAATGGAAATTTCTGGTGTGAACATATCTACAAAACAGTAGTGAGATTCCAGGCCCAAAAATGAATAATTCTCAAACACTCAGCAGATGATTAAAGTAGAACTGAAGGCATTATTTTCAGTTTGGATAGAATAATTAAGGATTATAGCCCCTGTCTGTTTTTTTTTGCCATTTGTGTCTGATTCCCCTTTACCTCCTGTCCCATAGCCAAAATAGGAAATGAGAGAAAATTTTTCCAAAGTGAGGAAATCCCTGGTAGTCACAGGTCCGCAGAACTAGTTTCCCCACTGGAAGATTATTTCTTTATTCCTGGTCTGGTGACAACACAAAATTTGGGATTTTTTTTCATTTTCATTTTGGCGATAACAGTCACCAGGACAAATAGAGAGGGTTGATGTCCCTAACAAGGAAACACACAGCAGCAAAAACCTGACATGTTCTAATCTCTCAATCACCTCATCATCTCATCTCACTGTACTGCCTCCCTTAAGTCAAATACATATCACAGGAAGATCCGTTATGAGGAGGACAGAAAACTTTACAAATGTTTAGGACACACACACAAACACGCACACATACAAAAATATAAAAATAAAATATAAAATCATGCTCTTTGACAGTAACCTATCATGCATATCTGTTGATCTGTTTACTCATGTGCATATATAATAAAACAATTGTATAAGCATAGGTATTAAATGGTCAAAAACAATAGTAATATCATACCTCTGAACTTTTTAAAATTGGAAAAAGAGGCAAAGCATGATGCCAATTGTCCACTCACCTGCCACACCTTTTGTTCCATGGACCACAAAGAATTAATCTGATAAAAATGCAATAGCTTGGAGTTTAGATGAAAGGTTTAGTGTATTGTTCCTAGATTGTAAACTCGAAAGAGTAGGGCCCTCGTACCCCTCGTGTAGTGTATTGTTACTGTCTTGTCTCATGTTCTGTCCCCCTTGCTACTGTACAGCGTTGAGCATACCCTTTGGCGCTATATAAATACTGTATAATAATAATAATAATGTAACACTTTTGGTAGTGAAAGCAAATCTAATCCCTTGTATCCTTTACTGTACAGCTGAGGAAGCTACCATCTAAGTCTCTTTTTGATCTGCAGTTATCATATTGCTGCACATGTGATCAACTATGACACCAACCATATGATGGCTTGACAGTTTGGCTGAAATCTAACATAAGCGCACTAGTACAGCAATCATTCACAGCATGCCTTAAATGTAACTGGTTTAGTTGATAGTTAATTGGATGGATTTAATTCCACTTTAAATAATTCCTTTTTTATAATTGAAGTTTTACATCAGACCAAAAAAGGAACAACTGAGAGGGGAAAAAAGGATGAAGGGATTAGTTTCCAAATGCAATTAGAAAAATGAAAGTCTTGGGTAAAAGCTGTGTGAATCTTGTGTGAAAAACATTTATAAATTAACCCTTAAGTCTTTTGGCACTTGCAAATGAGATGAATGATCTCCAACTCAGGTATACGCAAAAAATCGGTAATCAGAGACCTTGTGATTTCCAGTCTCGTGCCAGCAGCGCAGACTATGCAGGGAATAAAATGTCTATGGGCAATGGCCCAGTTTACTGCCATTAATCTCAGTCACTCTCATATTATCACCGGTTTCCCTTTTTGCTAATTATAGAATTTACGATAAGGATTCCAAGCACAAGCCAAACATAATAACTCTTCTTCGAAAAGCTTGGCAACATTTTATTCATAAATTTGTTAAAAAAAACATAATGACCTTGTCAAGCAAAATACGAGAGGCAGAACGAATGATAGAAGAACACCTTGGTTTATTCAGGCTTTGATGCAGAGATGATGTCACTGCAGGAGCATAAAATGTTCCTTGA